GGCTCTAAAGCTCTGCAGGCTCTAGTTAAAAGCACAAAAAACATATAAATAATAAGTATAAAGTAAGTACACTATAAGCACTGCATAATAACCTACACTAAGCAAATTATATTAAAAAGACTAAAAAAGCAAGCTCTCTACCTATTTTAAAGAATTACATAGAACATGTTTAATATGCTATTAAAGCGTAGTAGAGCTTTATAAATACTAATTATTAAAAATAAATATAGCAGTAAAAATTTTTTTTACTTTTTTTAAGTAAAAACACTTTTAAAAATCTAAAAAGTAATAAAAAACTTTAAAAGTATAGTATTTAATTAATATAAGCTCTAGATTAGTAAAATATAGTAAAATAATAACACTACTACACTCTCTTAGTATAAAAAGTTAAAGTATAAGCTTTAAGTAAAGAAATCTAGCATTAATATTAAAAGCTTTTTACTATACACTTATAAGCTAAATAAAGCTATAAAAAGAGCTAGATAAAAGATAATTATAAAGTTTATTAAAATAAAAAGCAGTTTAAGACTCCCTAAGAAGCTCTAGCTAGAAGTAGTAGACGCAGCAACATAGCTGTACAATATAAGCCTGTTGCATGCATACAACTTACACTTACTAAATAAAGTCTTAGACGTGTAGTTTACTAACTGCTTTAAATACTATAAGCTAAAGTAAGTAAGAAGTGCTACAGCTAATTTAAAGCCTAATTAAAATAAAACTTACACATATAGCTGTTACACTTACCTACTTAATAGAGAGTAAGCAGCTAGGTGTTAAAAGCAAAGCTTTAAAGTAACTTTATAAGGCTATATAAAATATCTTATAGGCTATAAAGCTTTAAATATTTATAAAATATAAGTCTTATTACTTAACCAAGTAATTACTATAAAAAACATAGCTTTTAATAAGACACACTTTTATAAAAATAAAAGTAATAAACTAATTCTTTAAAAAAAAACCTTTAAAATTTTTAAAATTTTTAATAAGTAAAGTAAAATTTATAATATATAAAAAGCTTTTAAGCTTCTACTTTAAAGGTTAAATAAGTAATAAAGTAATATACTAAATTAAAGGCTTTAAAAGTGTAAGTTTAAAAGTGTAAAAACTAAAAAGCTTATTAAAACTTAAGTTAGCTAGCTAAAAGATTAGCACTTAAAAGTAAAAGTAACTATATAAGTAATAAGTATAATAAGTAAGTTACTAAGAATTTATGTAGTTCTTAATAAACATATAGCACTTATTACTCTAGAGCTAACTTCTAAGCTAGAGCTTATAATAGCTCTATAACACGCCTTATATAAAGTAGGCACAAGCATACTAGTAATCTTTAAGAAGTGCACTTAACTAAAAAAGTAGATCTACTAGGCTTATTAAGTTAAATAGCTAACTTACTAGTTAAAAAATTAACTTTTACTTTTTACACTAAAACATTATCTTTTATAGCTTTAGTTAAAGTAAGTAAAGCACTCTTTAAACATATATATAATAAAAAGAGCTAATAACTAGCTACACATATAAGCTAAAGAATATAGAGGTAAGATTCTAATAACCTAGGTAAGCCTAAGAGTGTAAAAAGCAGAAGTATATCTATAACACTCTTAAAAAAAAGTAGTATGCATATTACTCTAGTTAATCTAAAGAACCTTTAAATAAACTTTCTTAAAGCATTTATTACTTATAATAATAAAGCGCTTAAAAGACTTTATAAAGTGTATTTTATAGCTACTTTCTTTAGGTAGCCTTAACTAAAAGCTTATAAGCTCTTAAAAAAACTCTTAAAATAAAAAAATTTATATAAACACTTATATAAAAATCCTTTTAAGATTATAGTATAAAAAAATAGCTACTTTACTTAAAAAAGCACTTAGAAAGAGATTATATAAACTAAAGTAATATCTAAGCTACTTTTACTAAAGTAAGTATTTATATATAAATTTAATTAGAATAAGTATTTTGCTAAATAAAAAGCTTGTATTTATATATATAGTAATTTCTAGAGTAAGAACTTACTTTAGTTAACCTATGCTACTACTCTTACAGCTAGATTCTTTTAAATAGTAATAGTAATAGCAGCTTAATTTAGCCTAGAGATTATGTAATATAATGTTATAAGCATATTCTTAAACACACACTATAAAGGTAAGCTAGAAGTAACATGTAAGCTTTTAAAAGGCTTTATAAAGCCTAGCATATATGTTAAGCTTTTATAAGCTTTATATAAATGTAACTTACTAATCTTATAGTACTAAAAGCTTTTATAGGCTTTTTAAAAGCTTAAGCTTATTTTATTTAAAAAAAATATACTTATTTTTTAACTATAATTAATATATCTTACTTTTTTTTTTATATAAATAACATAATGTACTTCACAGGCAAGTTGCTTACACACCTAAGTTACTTACTTTTGCTAAGACCCTACTAAACTACCCTCCCTACACTAATGCATTCCCTACAACACTACTTAAACACACTAAAAGAACGTTAGATACAGCTTACACTCTAAGCTTTTAAATAAGATATAAAACTCTTAAAAAAATGTGCTACAGCTATGTGTAAAGTTTTATAATAAATAATAAATAACTACAGCGCTAGACAACTTTTATAAGCTAATTCTATAGCTAAATTATAAAGGCTAGGTAATAAAAAAAAGTAGGTAATTATTAAGACTATACTTAAGCTATATGCGCAAGGAATTTCCCCTTAGATAGCATTTATAACTAATATAGCTAATTCTTTGCGCGCTAAGCGTAATCTAGGCTATATTTACATAAACTAGCCTAGTATGTTTATAAAGTGTTATTTAAAGCTTAAAGTAAAGTTTTAAGCGCAAGTATAGTTAAAAGATATTTAGCTAATTATAAACCTTATTTTGCTAAAGTTGTATATGTTATTATCCTAAATGCTATACTTAGCTTTAATATTCTTTATAAAGCTAAACCTGCTTTAAATTACCCTAGGACTTTTATAAAGAGCTCTCTTATAGTTATACTTATGCTTAAATATTACTTTAAGCTTTAAATAACGCTTTACAAACGTACTAGGCTAGTTTATGTAAACATAGCCTAGATTACGCATAGCGCGTAAAGAATTAGCTATATTAGCTATAAATGCTATTTAAGGGGAAATTCCTTACGCATATAGCTTAAGTATAGTCTTAATAATTACCTACTTCTTTTTATTACTTAGCCTTTATAATTTAGCTGTAGAATTAGCTTATAAAGGTTATCTACTGCTGTAGTTATTTATTATCTTTTATAAGACTTTGCACATAGCTGCAGCATGTTTTTTTAAGAGTTTTATGTCTTATTTAAAAGCTTAGAGTATAAGCTATATCTAACATTCTTTTAGCACGTCTAAGTAGTGTTGTAGGGAATGCATTAGTGTAGAAAGGGTAGTTTAGTAGAGTCTTAGCAAAAGTAAGCAACTTAGGTGTGTAAGCAACTCGCCTGTGAAGTACGTTACTTTATATTTATTACTATAATAATAAGTTAGAAGCTTACTAATTAATTAGTGTAATTAAAAAAATGTATAAGCTAGAAAATTAAAAGCTATATAAATAGTTTCTAAAGATTAAAATAATTAAAAATAAAAAAGCTAAAATAATCTAGCTAGTACATAACATGTATATTAAAAAAGTAGTAAAAAAGTTTAACTTTATAAAAAGTGCGCTTTTCTTAGAGACTCTTCTACTATTAGAAGAGCTTATAAGTAACTAAGAATTTGTAATAAAGCATAAAATTAAAAGATACTAAAAGCATATAAGATTAACACTTTACAGTATAATTATAGTGCGCTCTAATGTAGCATTTGTAGCATTTTAGCTCTCCTACTACCTAACAAACCTAGAAAAGGAGCACTTTTAGGTAGTAAACTAGGTAATTATATACCTGTACTACATAAGACATACAGGCATACAGTATAGAGCACTAGAAGGTGCGTAACTTATTATATATAAAGACACATCTTTTACTAATTACATAAAAACTAAATAATTATTTTATAAATACATTATTTTACTTTTTAAAGAACTAATTTTATAGAAAGTAGCTTTTTAGCTAATAGTAACTATATTTATAACAAAAGCTAAGCTGCTTACTTTAGTGTATATTATAAAAAAATTACTAGCTTTAAAACGCTTCTTTAAAAAGCTTACTTTAGAGCTAGGCACACTATAGTAGATCTACTATAATAACTAGTAAACAATTAGGTTAGTAGTAAAGAAGAACGCTTAGATAACTACCTGCCTACGCTACATTAATATCTAGAACATGTGGCTGCGCTAGAAGCACACAAAAAGATCTTTTAAAGTGCGCTATATTAAAATAAGCAACATGCTAGTAAATAGACTTATAAAGCACTTACTAAAATAGTAATTTAAGCACTGTAAGTAGCTTTTTAACTTTAAAGACACATAAATAAGCTTCTAAAAAAAGAAAGTGTTAATTATTAATAGTAAAGATATTTTTATACTACTTAAAAATAAAAGTTTTATTTACTAGCAAAGACACTTCTTTATGCTATAAAGTTTAAGCTGTAACGGCGCAGGCAAGACAATGGGTCCGAATGCGGAGGGAATCCACTCAGAGGCATATGGGAGTGCGTGGGGACTCTGAACCTGGGAATGCCATTGACACCTATAGGCCTTGTACAAAAGGATATCAGAAAACTACCAAGCTAGCTACAGGGGCGAGGTGCGACTAAATACATGAAGGAATAGGGGACCCTTCGGATAGGATCCGAGCGACCCGAGATGGAACGATTCGTAGAATCGTTACATAAGCAAGGATTTAGTACATAAAATGCGCAGAAACACAGAACGCCTAAACTATAAGAAGATTAACAAGCTTACCTAAGAGCTTCTTAGCGCGCTAGCAACGCGCTAGGAGCCTAGGGGACATATTACTCTACTCTTTTTTTCTCTTCTTTTTTTTAAAAATTTTTTTTTTCTTTTTTTCTTTTACTACATTTTTTTTAAGCAGAGCTTAAAGAACTAGCTAAAGCTAGAACATAGCCTATAGCTTATTAGTCTAATCTAAGGTATAACATATAATCTTTATAAAGAAGCTTACCTGCTTGTCCCCTGCAACAAGTGCTGTAACAAGGCGCTGCGCATACGCAACAGTAATAAGGGGACTATAAATAAGTTAAAACTAGATCACCCTACACACACTACTACAGGGCTTATAGGGGTAGGCAGCTGTGCCTAGAGAAACAGCGCTAATAGTATAAACTACTAGTAGCAGAATTATAGCACTCCTTACTAGAGCGCCCTGTAAGCGCACTCTTTATGCAGCCTAGACAGGACTGCGCGCGGAGCGCACCAGGGGGAGGCCAGCGGGGAGTCGAGGCCGGAGCGGGGAGCGGGCGCCGGCGGGGGGTGGTGGGCGCAGGGCGACGGCGGGTGGTGGGCGCGGGCTTGCGGGTACGCGCAGGCCGGCGGGGGGTGGGCGCAGGCTTGTAGGCAACGCGGCCCTGCAGAGCAGCAGCACGTAAGTAGGCAGCTCTTTTAGCTTTATTAAGCTATAGATACACATTAGTAAAAATTATAAATAAGTTTAAAGTTATTTTTAAAGCTTTTAAAAGCATTAACTTACACACAGCATGTTATTAAGACTTATAGAAAAGAAGCTTAAAAAGTAGTAAAATTTATTTACCTTTATTATAGTAATTACAGCACGCATGTAACCTACGCTGCCTAAGGAAACAAGTATTGCGCTGCCTAGAGAAACAAGCATTGCGCTGTGTCACGGTATCCTCCCCGGATCCCAGACATAACTGTATTAGACGCGTACTAGAGTATTATTAGTGCACGTCTAACACAAACACAACACAACACAGACATAAACTTAAGCATAAACTGCCTTAACACTAACTAAACCTAGAATAGGCTTAATTTATACTTAAAGCGCTTAGACTTTTAAGCTAAGTATTTAATTACTAATTTTCTTTTAAACCTTCTTATTTCTTATACAACGTCTTATACCTACTATAATACCTTATGTAGTAATTAAACTAGACCTCTGTAAAGCTCTATAACCTTACTTATGCATAATTATAACATTATGTTGTGTTAAAACTTTAGCTAAGAATAGCCTCTAAATCTAATCTAATAAGCTTAGTACTTATACAACTTTAAGCTATTAGAGTAAGCTAAAAAGCTTTTTAAAAAGTGCTTACTTTATAAGAAAGCTGCTATATTATAAGCTTTAGAGCTTTTTAAAAGGACTTTAAAGAATAGCTTTATGTTATTAAGTAGTCTATTTTTGCCTTAACTTTTGTTATAGTAGTAAGAACTAAGAACTTACTAGCCTTAAAGCTTACCTAGAAGTCTAGAGATAGCTTAACTCCCTCCTGCCTAAAACTGCCTATAACCTGTAACTTTTTTAACCTAGTAATAAAATCTAACTAACTTCTTAATCCTTTACTATTTAATAGAAAATAAAAAGACCTACTTTTCTTTCTACATAAGCTTTAATATAAACTTAAAAAAAACATAGACTAATTCCCTCTAAACGCTTCTAGTTACTATATGCCTACTTTTAACTTAACTATAACATAACAGCCTTAATTAACTTACTAATAAATAAAAATATTATTAACTTAGATTAATTTATAGTGTTTCTATAAGTAACTTATAAAGACTTAAATAAAAAGTTAACAGCCCTAAGTTGCCTAAACACTTTATAATAAAAAAAAAAAAGCTTTACTTTACACTTTACTAAGTTCTACTAACTTACATTTAATATAGGCCTAAATAAAATAGGTCTAATTACAGCCTTATATAACTCCCTCTTAACTAAACTGTAACACGCTATAGTAGGAGAACCCCTTCTAAACAACCTTAACGTGTATGTAAACTTAATTACTACCTACAATAATAACATAAGGTTCCTTTCTATATAAGCCCTAATACACCCCTAAACTAGCGCAGTTGCAAATAAGAACCTTAATGTAATAGAAATTAATTTAAATTATGCTCTAGTTAGTTTTAGAAAGTGTAAAGATTATAAAAAAAAAAGTTAATGCTTTAAGTGTAGTAAGTATAGTTATATTTTCTAAAACTACTTTATTCTTCTTTCTTAAGTCTACATAAGTAGCGCTGCTAGCACTTATTAAAGATCTTTACTATTTTAATCTTATTTTTATAAGGGCTTTAACTTATATTTAAGCTTTAATCTTTTTTACTACTTTTAACATAGCCGCAGCTATAGCAGTAGAAGCCTGCAAAAAGGCTTGTCTTAGGGCTAAGTTGCCCCTTAGGACTAATTTAACACTAGATCTCTGCTAACTTATAGGCTAAGTCCCCTACTAATAACTAAAAGTACTAAGTTAATATTCTTATATGTTTATAATAAAGAACTATATTAGCTCTAATATAAGCTCTTATTAACTTAGAAGTAAATAGCATAAGTTACATTAATAAAGAACTAGCGTGTAAACTAAATCTCTAATTAACACTACTTACCTAAATAATTTACCTAACTAGATTTAATAAAAAATAACTTAAAAAAAGTTTTATCTTTTATACTATAACTATTATAATTACCTACTAACACTATAAGAAGTAGATTAAACTTTATGTAATAAACACAGAATGTTATAACCTAATCCTAAAACAACTATAGCTGTATTAGCATAAAGTTGCCTTTAATTACTAAGAGTAAGTTTTAAACTTTAACTCTTTTTAATGCTAAGATATATGCTTATGCTTACACCTAAATAACACTTAAATAGCACTTAATATAGAAAGTTTTTAGACCTACTTCCTAATAACTTAAAAAAAAACTACTTAAGTAAGGCTAATAAGCTAGGCCTCTTACTAAAATAAGCTATGTAAAATAATTTAACAACTACTTAAACTTAAAAAAAAAAAGCCTTTAAAAAACTTTTACTTACCTAATTTAGACATAAACTAGGACTTAAACAGTAGATAGACATCTACTATATAGAACCTGCCCTATTTATAACTCTAGCTTAATAACTAGATTATAAAATCTACAGAGTTATAATTTCTAATATAAACTAAGCTTTAGCTTCTTAAAAACACACTAACTTAAAAATAATAGTCCCTTAAGACTACTACAACTTATTACATGTCTTTTTCTAAAATAAGTTTAATAAGCTTTTAATATAATATCTATATAATTACTAGATAACTTTTAAGCCTAGTAAACAACCTAGTTATAGGCTACTATATAAAATGTTACTAAACAAATTAAAAGTGCTTTAAAAATACTTTAATAAGAACCTAAAGAAAAGGTTTATTTAAGCTAGCTTTTTACTAGTAGTGTTACCTATACTATTTATAAAAAAACCTAGAGGTAGGCTTTAATTCTATGTTAACTACTAAGGACTAAATGCTGTTACTATTAAAAACTAATACTTAATTTTTTTTTTATAAAAAACTCTAAGCTAACTAAGTAAAGCAAAGTATTTTATAAAGTTAAATATTATTACTACTTTTAATAAGCTAAGAATAGTAAAGGGTAATAAGTAGCTAACAGCATTTTAGACCTAATATAAACTATTTAAGTACCTAGTAATGCCTTTTAGCTTAGCTAACACGCCTAGTACTTTTTAACATTTTGTAAACAACTTACTCTAACTTTACCTAGACGTGTTCTGCACTGCGTATATTAATAATATTCTAATCTATAGTAATAGCCTTTTAGAGCATAAACAGCATGTACGCCTAGTGCTAAAGGCTATAGAAGAAGCAGGTCTATAACTTAACATAGACAAATGCAAGTTCTACTAATTAAAGGTTATGTATTTAGAATATGTAATCTTTATAGATAGCATCTAAATAGACCCTATTAAGGTTTAAACTATACTAGATTAGCAATACTTAAAAAATGTAAAGAATATTTAAGCCTTTATAAAATTTACTAACTTCTACTAATAATTTATTAATAACTTTTTATAGCTAGTAAGCCCTATAATTACACTTACTAAAAAAGAAGTTTAATTTAACTTTAACTTAAATTACTAATAGTTTTTTAACTAGCTAAAGAAAGCCTTTACTAAAGCCTTAATACTCTACTACTTTAACTTTAAACTACTAATACTTGTAGAAGCTAATGCCTTAGACTACATAGTAGCAGGAGTTCTCTTCTAGACTAAGCTAGATAAAACTATTAGGCCTATTATATACTTTTTAAAAAAAATAAGTTTTGTAAAAGGTAATTATAAGATCTATAATAAAAAATTACTTACTATAGTATACTACTTTAAATAATAGCAACCTAAACTAGAAGGTGCAGCGCATCTAATACAGGTTCTATCTAACTATAAGAACTTATAGTACTTTACAACTATAAAATAACTTAGCTACTAATAAGCCTATTAGTCTAAATACTTATTTTATTTTAATTTTAAGATTACTTATTATTTTAGTTAAAATAAAAGGAAACTAGATGCCTTTATAAGGTAATTCTAAGACATCTTTACTTAAGAAAAAGTGTAAAAGGCTTAACACTAAACTCTACTTTAACTTAAGCTATTTTTAGACCTTAACTTAAATAAAATAAATTAGATAATTAATTAGATTATTACTAATAAGTATTTAAATAATAAATTTATCTAAGAAACTTTAGACCTGCTCTAAAATAGCGCTAGTTAGTTAAAAAAGGTAACACTAGCTAACTATAAAAACTAAAATAGTAAGCTATATTACTATAACTAACTTATAATCTCTAATTTTAATAAACTAAAAATTAAACTACTCTAAATTATACACAACTTGCCTATTAAAGGACACCTAAGCAGAGGAAAGACTCTTAACCTACTGCAGAGAGAGTACTACTAGCCCTGCATGTTCTATACTATATGCTAATATGTATTATGTTGCTATACTTACTGTAAAGTAAAGGCCTCTTAAAAAAGGTATAATAGCCTACTTAAACTACTCTTAATCCCTAAATAAGCTTAGAAAAATATATTAATTAATTTTATTATAGACCTACCTCTATCTAAAGAGTATATAAATATTATAGTAGTTATTAATTACTTAACTAAGTATTAACACTTAATACTATATTCCTTTATAACTGCCCCTAATATAGCCTAGTTATTCTACTAATATGTATAAGTTTACTATAGCCTGCCTAACATAATTATATTAGACAGAGGTACACAGTTTGTCTTAGCCTTCTAGGACAAACTCTATAAATAGCTTTAAATTATCTTCTATTTATCTACAGCTTTTTACCTAGAGACTAACAGCTAGACTAAGAACATAAACACTATAATAAAATAAGTCCTACAAGTGTACACAAACTACTAGTAAGATAACTAGGTAAAATAGTTAGCTATAGCATAGTTTAAAGCTAATAACATAACATTTAAATTAACATAAGTATCTCTGTTCTTAGCAAACTATAGATACTACCCCTAAATAAGATTTAAACTACTTATAAATACCCCCTAACTAACTTATTAATCTATATAAGTAATAGACATAAATAGACTTATTAATAAAATCTAAAATATATTTAAATACATTTATAAAAAGCTTACATAGGCTTAAGCTTTTTAATAAGAGTATGTAAACTAATCTTAAACCTCTGCCCCTGTGTATGCAGCTAGCAAGAAGGTCTAGCTA